CAGGAGGGGAAGACCCTCTATGAGGTGGATTGATTCAGTGACTGGGGAACTCGGGATGTGTGTGTCGGGGGCAATGAGATTGGCACAGGATAGAGCACGGTTTAGGGCTGTTGTACATAGGGTCGCTATGAGTCGCAAATGACTCAACGGCACGTAACAACAACAACAACAACAACAACAAGTGTTTTACAGTTCCTTGTTTTTCACTGCTGATCAATATTCATTGTGTGGATGTACCACAGTGGCTATGTTCAGTCATTTGTTGATGGGTACTTGGGTTGCTTCCATCTCTTTGCTATTGTGAATAACGATGCAATACACATGAGTGTGCATTCATCAGTTTGTGTCACAGGTCTGAGCCCCTTCCATAGCAGTTGTACTGTTTTATGTTTCCACCAGCTTTGTATGGAAGTTCGGGTTTTTCTGCATCCTCACCAGCATTTGTGGGTTACCATCCTATTGAACTTAACTATTGTTGCTGGGGTGAGATGATACCTCATTGTTGTTTTGATTTGCATCTAATACCTTGTGATTTTAAGCATTTTTTTTAAAATGTGGGTTGTTTGTTTGGTTTGGTTGGTTTGTTTGTTTGTTTTTTGCCATCTTTCTTTTTTCTTTTTCTTTTTTTTTCTTCTTCTTTTCTTTTTCTTTCTATTTTGATCTATCAGCCCATTTTGTGACTGGATTTTTTCCCATCTTTTTCTTGTTGATATGATGAAGTATACTTTGAATATGACTCCTTTATCAGATATGGCATTGCCAATTATTTTTTCCCTTAGTCTATGGGCTTTCTTTCTACTTTACTACAGAAAAATTATTTACGTACACAAGAGTTTGTTTTTCAGAAGATCTCATTCATCTATTTTATCCTCTACTGGTTGTAGGTTGTTGACTATGCTCGAAAGTCTACTCATGCCATAGAATAAAGCTTCTAAGCTTGTTCCTATTTTTTCCTCTGATGATCTTTATAGGTTTTGGTTTTCCATCTCTGTCCCTGCTCCACGTTGTGTTGGTTTCTGTGTACAGTGTAAAGTGTGGATCTTACTTCAGTTTTCTATAGATGAACGTCCTGTTTTGCCATCACCATTTGTTAAAGAAGCTGGGTTCCCCACTTAATTGATTTTGTCCTGTCAAAAATCAGTTGACCATAGGTAGATGGGCTGAATCCTGGCTTCTTGATTCTATTCTATTCCACTGATCTATTACCAGTACCATGCTGTCTTGATTACTATAGTTGTGTGATAAGTTTTGAGATCAAGGAATGTGATGTCTCTTACTTTTTCTCTTTTAGTTGTGCTTTGCTTATTCAGGATCTCTTTCAAGAAAAAAACTGGAAATTTTTTCTCCATCTCGCTGAAGAAACATGTTGGTATCTATATTGGGATTTTATTGAATTTGTAGATGGCTTTTGATAGAATTTTCATTTTCATGAAATTGAGTCTTCCTATTCATGAACTTGGTATATTATTCTATTTATCTCAGTCTCCTTTTGTTTCTTATGGTAGTGTTTTGTGCTTATTTTATATAGGTCTTTTGTGTCTCTAGGTAGATTTGTCTCTCTGTATTTCATCTGTGGCTAGCGATTGTAATTAGTATTAGTTTCTCTTAATTATTTTTCTAAGTTCTCTTTGTTACTGTAGAGAAATCAACTGATTTTTGTATTTTGAGCTTGTACTTGGCTATTTTTGTGAATTAGTCAAGTACGTCCAGTAGCTCTCTTATTGAATCTTTAGGGGTTTTAGGTATACTATCATGTCATCAGTTTAAAGCACTGGGTTCAGGAAAGTAGGTTTTATGATTTGATTACTAGTTAGTTGGGAGATGGGAAGCTTCTTTACTTTTGGCTGGGGGCTAAGAGCATCTTGTTTAAAGCAGTAGGGATTAAGAAGGGATTATTTTATTAATACTAAGTTGAGAGCTGATGTCACTTGTTTAAAGCAATTAGGACCTTCTGTTCTGACATTCCGGTACTTTGGCACTGAACACTGCTGTCTAGCTACATCATGTGGAGTTTCTTAAGCTCAAGTGAAAGACTCAGGGTAGAGCCATGGTTTCTGGAGGGCAACAGTCACCCTGTGACAGGTGTCAAGCCATCAGGTGAACACCATATAATGGTCCTTCACAAAACACTACCATACCCTAGGCCATTATATAGTTACAACAATGTAACACCTACTAAGAAAACACTCACATAATGTTAAGAAAGCAGATGTTATGCATCAGTCATCTTGAAAAAACAAAGTAACCCTTCTCCTAAAAGAGCAGACAAAATGAATACCCCAGATAGAACCAATAGGAAGTTATTTCAACAGTTACAGAAAAGATGGAAGGGATAATATAAGTCATTAAGACAGAAAACACCCTAGAGACAGCAATCCAGAAGAATCAATGAGGAACAACTTGAACAACTGTTGTTCTTTGTCATTGTTAAGTGCTGTCGAGTTGTTGGCAACTCATGTTGAGTTCTTGGCGACTCATAGTGACCCTATGAACAAAAGTCCTCGACACCTGCGTGACTCTCATCCTTTCTCCAGGTTCATAGGGTTTCCGGAGACAAGCTATTTACGGAAGTGGATGCCACTCCTGCTTCCAAGCTTGTTTTAACCAGGGAGTGCCATCAAACACTGTACATCATGGGTAACCATTATCACATCTGACACAACAGTGTCACTGTGTTCAGCTTCACAGCAACCAAAAGTTACCTCTGTACAGCAAGTGGACACACGAGGGCTATACGACCTAGAAGAATGTTTCCCAAAAACAATTAAAGACAGGCTTTAGGGCCACGGATTAGAGTCACCCATCTTTGGCTTGGTAGCATCACTTTCAGTCCACAAGGCCAACTGGTCTCTCTCTATGTTGTTAAGTGCCATTGAGTTGTTGGTGACTCATAGTGACCCTATGAACAAAAGTCCTCGACACCTGCGTGACTTTCATCCTTCCTCCAGGTTCATAGGGTTTCTGGAGGCAAGCTCTTTATGGAAGTGGATGCCACTCCTGCTTCCAAGCTTGTTTTAACCAGGGAGCGCCATCAAACACTGTCTGATATGGGTAACCATTATCGCATTTGACTTGATAGCATAGATAAAGAGGTACAAGAACTTAAACATAATCACAAGACAAAAGGGTACAGCCAACACAGTACTTGAAATAACAAAAAAGCAAGAAAATATAATCCAGGATAATAAGACCAAAATGGCAGCAGTGTCCAACACATTAGTGAG